GGGTGGGAGGGTGAGGGGAGAGCAAAAATGAACTGCTAGGTGCCTGGCTTGCATTAGTGCTAGGTCAGCAAATTACAGCCCATGGGCCAAATTCAGTCCAGCACCTGTTTTGTACAGCTCATGAATTAAAAATAGTGTCTGCATTTTAGAAAGTGGTGAAAAAGAACAAGGCTATATGACGGACACTGTGTGTGCCATATGTGACCTGCAGAGCCTGAATATTTTCTCTCTGGTCCAACAGAACAAATTGGTTGACTCCAGCTTAGTGGGTTAGGGTACCATTCATTGAGATGTGGAGGGAGAGAAGAATATTTTGTTTTAATTGTTTGCAAGGTGGTGAGAATCTTATTTATGATACCATAATCCACCTGCCTATTTTCATTGCATACTGAGTTAGAGGTGTGTATTGTGAAGCTTTTCAGAGGAAATGGGGTGAGCGTGGACATCATTGCCTGGCTAAATAATTTGGGGCTCCCTTTTATTAGGGATTTTGCTTGAGCAGGGCTACAACCTAAGGATTCAGTTTCAAGTAACGGCACACCTTATCAGTGAGCATCTGGGAGTGTAGCCAATTGATTCTTTTTTGGTTCCACAAAATTCATTTCTGGTCAAAAATGGATCAATATCTTTCATTCTGTTACAAACATGTCCATTTCTGAGCTCTGACAGTGGGGCATATCTTCTTGCTTTTTGGGGGCTCCAATAATGGGACTTGGGGTTTGGACCTTTGCAGCCTATTGCCGGAACTCTCTGGACGGCCAGTGGTACAGTTACGACGACAGCACAGTGGAGTCGCTTCTAGAAGATGAGGTCATTACCCGAGGGGCTTACATCCTATTTTATCAGAAGCGGAACAGCATCCCTTCCTGGTCAGCCAGCAGCTCCATGAGAGGTAGGTGCTGCTGCTCGGTACAGGACAGGGGAGAACTGGGAGGTCTCTTTCAGAACTGGGAGGATGCCCAGTTGGGCGTCAAGGACCAGAGGAGGTGGGCAAGGGTCTGAGAGAGAAAGCTGTAGCTGCTGCTGCAGAGTTGAACACCACAGGCTGGAATCCCATTTGTAAGGATGTGGAGTGGTCATATTGAAATGTAGGACTGGGGAAAGGAATAATGTTTTGTATCCGTGGTAGGTGTGGGATTTCATAGTCCCAGTCTCACGCATGTCAAGCAAGATTTTAATTAAGCTTGTGCAGTAGAAACCTGTGTTAGTCCTGTTAGAAAGGGCGGTTGCAGGGTCTTCATAGGAAACGTAGCTGCTTGACTACTGCCTAGTGATACGTGTATTATTAGCTAACCCCGACCTCAAACTTGCTTGCAAGTCTGGAGGGGAAGAAAAATCAAAGTTGACCTTTTTATGTAACTTACTTCACTCTGAAAACTAGCCATCCTTATCTTTGGGCTAAAAGAGCATTTTTTTGAAAAATTACTACAACAACTGTTGGAAAATGGCCAAATAAAACTAAGATGCGCCCTAAATGGTCTAAACCAACCCTAATGCAAAGTCTCCCTTCCTTTTACAGAAGATAGACACAGAAAGAATGGAAAACATACTCTGTTTAGAAAGCTGGAGTTGGTGACAAGTAATTTCACGAAAAGCATTTCAATACTCAGCAGCTTACTTTCCTTTCTGTGCCCCAATGCCTGTCCCTAAATTTTCGGCTGGGTCACGTGATTAATCAGTTGCAGGTCTCTCCTCTGGCCCTTAACTTCCTCGCGTAGGTGATTCTGCTCTGGTCTGTTCCAGGGCTGGGGATGGGAATCGGGCCGTGAGAAGCCCCTCCCAGGGCCGAGTAGGATGGAGTGGGTCGAGCCTTCTGTCTCTGTGCTTCCTCCGCAGGGTCCACCAGCTCCTCCTTATCTGACCACTGGCTCCTGAGGCTGGGGAGCAACAGCAGCAGCACGCGGGGAAGCCTGCTGTCCTGGCGCTCTGCCCCCGGCCCCTCCCAGGCCCCGGTGCCCGACCCCCTCGGTTTCGCAAACAGCCTCTCCGGTCAGGAAAAGGGTACGTCTTACCACGTTGGTTAAATTTGCTGATTTTCTTTTCTTTAATGACCGCTACTCTCACCTTTATGAAAGGGCCCAGCGTCCACCCTCACAGGAGGTGTCTCGTCTCCCGAGCCGGGCCTCCCGTGGCCTAGCCCTGCCTCCCCCTCCTCACCCGCCATCTCCAGCAGCAGGCGCGTTCTCTCTGCGCCTGGGGGCTCGCTGTCCACCGGGACACAAGGAAATGAATGTGGTGACATGATGTAAGGCAGGGACAAGGGTGGAGCCGTAAATCATCCTAGAAGTAAATAGCGATGTCAGGGTGCAGGGGAAAGGGTGCAGGGGGCGTGGGGAGGCCTTTCTAAGAAGGAGGCGACTTGGGGCAGAGCAAGTGAGAGTGGGTCGTGGAGAAGTCTGGGAGTGGGCATGGGGGGTGGGGACACCAGAGCCGTGGCTGGAGCAGAGTGACTGAGGACAGTGACAGAGGTAACCAGGGGCCAGGTCATGGCGCCCCTTTGGCCCATGGACTAAGTTTGCATTTTATCCCAAGTACGGTGGGTGGCTTCGGGGGAATTTTGATGCAGGGAAGTAATCGATGTGATTTATATTTTGAAAATGTCTATTCTGGCTGCTGTGTGGAGAATAAATCAGAGGGACAGGAGTGGGAGACGGAAGGCCGGTTGGGAGGCGCGTGTGACTGCCGAGGTGAGGGGGCGGTGGCTTAGACTAGCGCGTTAGGTCAGAGACGCTCAGACCGGGGGGAGCTCATGGGGTTTGCTGAGGTGAGAGAAAGGGAGTGATCCAGGAGGACTTTGCTTCGTTAGCATCTAAATCTGGGTGGTTAGGTTAGCAGTACAGTTAATGAGATGGGCAAGAACTGGGTAGGAAACGGTCAGTTTTGGAGAGAAATCAAGAAATTGTGACGTGATAACTTTGAGACTCCTGTAAGACATCAAATCAAGATGGTTACTATGGAGCGGAGATAATGTTTGAGTGGTCAGCACACGGATGGAATTTAAAGCCATGGGGCTGGCTGAGCTCTCCTAGGGGACCTGTACAAGCAGTGACCAGCCTGGAGCTCTCCGGCACCTAGAGGCTGGGCAGAGGCAGAGCGGTCGGCAAAGACTAGAAGGAGCAGCCAGTGAGATAGGAAGAAGCCTGGGCGGAAACGAGTCACAGATGCAGAAAAGGAAAACCTTTCGGGAGGAGGTGGCCAACTGTGTCACATACGGTTGAGAGGCTAAGGTGAGGATGGGAAGTGATGGTCAGGCTGGAAGGCCACCAGTGACTTGCCAAGAGCATCTGCCTTGGGCCGGAGAGAACAGAAGCGGCTGTAATAGGTGGAGGAGGCATTGGGGCTGGAGAAGTGACAGTGGGCACACTCTCCGTCAAGGACTGCGACTCAAGGGGCAAGGGGCAGGCGCGCAGAGGAATGTGGGCCTACAGCAGCTTTTGTTTGTTTTTCTTTGCCAAATAGGAAGTAATAGTTCATTTTAGCATTCAGACGATTTGGTCTAGGGAGAGAAAGTGAAGACAGTGCAGGAGAGCAAGGCAAAAACCGCAGACACAAAGCCCTTCGGGAAGAACTCTGTATGCTCCCTGAGATCATGACCGCTTCCCTCCTTTCCAGAGGGAAGTATTATTCTGACTTCTAACACCGTGGACTAGTTTTGCCTGTTTTGGAACTTTGTATAAATGGGGTCACACGGTGCGCATTCTTTTTAGTTTGGCTTCTTTTCCTCACATTGCATTTGTGAGATTTATGTATGTCGTGTGTGGCAATGTTCTTTCATTTTATTCCATTGTCCAAAAAATATATATATATATCCAAAACAACTCAGAGACATGCAGTTCTCTGTACAGGTGTTTAATTGTATATGAGAGAGAGAGAGGGAGAGTTGTCAACTGCTGACTATTGTCAATAAAAGTTTAAAAAAGCAGAGGCAAGGATTGGGAAAGGGAAGCATGATGGGTGGAGTGGGGAGCACCCCTCCTCGCTGAGGGTTCACGGGTGGGCTGGAGTCGATCGCAGGCCTAGCCTGACTGGAGAAGTTCTGCTTGATCCTAAGGAGAAACACTTTGAGTCGTAGATTTATGGATTCTCGAGTTATTTGTGGATTCTCCAAACATCCATGTGCGTTTTGCTGTGGAGCATACGTGATGGGTTGTCTCTGAAACGCTCGCTGGTGTCCCTTCGTGGATCTCTACCTGGTGGCCGCACCACCTCCCTCATCAGAATCTCCCACTGTGCCAGGGGAGAGGGCACTTTGCTTATTTGTTCTGTTGTGGTTAGATGTTGGGGTTGTTTCCGGTTCCCTCTGTTACTGGTGGTGTTGCTGTGGACTTTTTGTTCCTGTTGTTTCTGACGAATGTCTGTGTTTCTGTTGGGTGTGTACCTGGGAGTGGAATTGCTGGGGCACAGCGTATGTGGTTTTTCACCAGCTGCTTTTTCCTGCACCCTTTGTTACCGTTGCATCGAAGTAGCCAACACAGTACCTGGTGCGTACCAGGCTCTTGCTCCATATTGGTGAGTGAATAAATATGATGATAGGATCTAAAAGTGCAAATGGTTTTAGATGATCATTGCATCCAGCCCTCTGGTTTATAACAGTTCATGTAGCATGGCTGGGTTAATTATTCCTCAGTGTTTGAATTTTGGCTCCCAGTGTTTCAGCTAGATGTTGATCGGAGCACCTCTATGTGCACCGCACATTTGCCTGATTGCCTTAGAGTAGTTTCCATGTAGGCGCACTATTTATTTTTTTAAAAAAAATATATCTTTATTGATTTCAGAGAGAGGAAAGGCGAGGGAGAGAGATAGAAACATCAATGATGAGAGAGTCATTGATCGAGCCTGCAACCCGGGCATGTGCCCTGACCGGGAATCGAACCCCGATGGCCTGGATCCTAGGTCGATGCTCAACCGCTGAGCCACGCCCAGCTGGGCTAGGCGCACTATTTAAAGCATTATGTCCTAACTCACCCTGCTGGCCGCCTCTCTTCCCCTCACATTTCATGACTGCACATTTAGAGTAGTGTCTATAGAACAAAAAAGGCATTCTTTCCAAGCTTCGCCATCCCCATCAGCGTGAGCCTCTCACGAGCTCATGAATTCGTCCCAGTTCTGCCCAGTGGCCTAGGGCCTCAGGCCGTTTCTCAGTTCTCCCCACGACAAATGTTTGACATCCCCACAAGGAGGCAACTTCAAAGATGGCCCAACTTTTCCACATGGTACTCGGGTTGAGGGGGCACAGCTTCAGAAAGCTCCCCAGAGAGAGAGGGCTAGGATGGAAGAAGTAACATTGAAGGATACTGTCCTCCAGGCCCTTGAGGACACTTTATTGATCTTATCTAGTCATCAAAATCTCTAGGGCAGGTGAAGTTAGTAGCCCTTTACAAAGGAGAAAGCTGAGCCTTGGGGGTACCCAGTCATGAGCTCACCCTGGAAAGCGGCTGGGCTATGAATCGACCTGCTCCCTCTGGCTGCCAGAGGCCTGGCTCTGTGCTCTTAGACGTACATTCCAAAGTTGAGTTTTTTCTGTTCTGACTCTGGAAGAGCCTTGCTCCCAAAGGGAGCCTTCCTTCTTGGGGTTTGAATAAAATGGGGATAGATTTTGAAACCTGTTTGAGAAGCTCTCAGGTGGTTGAAAATACAGCCTTATTTAATCACGTTAGTTCTAAACCTGGGCAGGATCACAATCTAGCCTGTAGGTGTCCAGTAGCGGTTGGTCTGATCTCTCCCCGTGGCTATGCAGGAGAATTTTAGTTATTTATTTATTTTTTAAGGCTTATCTCACTTTTTCTTTTTTTTTTACTTTTTTTTTTTTTAAATAATTTTTATTTTTGCTTAAGGTATTACAGATGTCCCTTTTTCTACCCAATGACCCTTTCCGCCCCGTTCCTTCCCCCTCCCCAGTCATCAACAAATCAACAAATGACATGTGCTGGCGAGGGTGTGGAGAAAGGGGAACCCTAGTACACTGCTGGTGGGAATGCAGACTGGTGCAGCCACTGTGGAAAACAGTATGGAGGTTTCTCAAAAAATTAAAAATGGAGCTGCCGTTTGACCCAGTGATTCCACTCCTAGGAATGTATCCTAAGAATCCTGAAACATTCATCAGAAAGGCTATATGCACCCCGATGTTCATTGCAGGAGAATTTTAATTTTCAACCCTCACCCGAGGATGTTTTCATTGATTCCAGAGAGAGAGAGAGAGAGAGGGAAAAACATTGATATGAGAGAGAAACATCAATTGGCTGCCTTCCGTATGCACCCCAGCAGGGGGTCAAACCTGCAACCTGGGTATGTGCCCTGACCGGAATCAAGCCCACGGCCGTGTGGTGTACTGGACAACGCTCCAACCAACTGAGCCACACCAGCCAGGGCTGGGGCAGGTTTTCTCCTGTGGAAGGCAGGGCTGCTGAGTGCGCTGCTCCATACAGAATCATCCCTCCCGGATGCCGGCCGTCCTCTGTAGAGAGACACTGATAGCTTGGGAACGCCGTCCCTCCAGTGGCTCTGGTTATGGGACACTGTGATAACGAAGGAATTTTAAACTAAAATGAACAGATTCGCGTTTGTGCCGCTGTGCTTATATAACTGTGGACAGGTGTCGGAGAGGCTGTACAAGAAAATGACATAAAAACAGCTTACTTCTGCAACTTTCACAAAAACAGGACCATTTGGAAGTGTGGCTGGGGTCCCTGGCAATAAGGGGCCCTGGGACTTAAGCTTCCTTGGTTTTCAGCAGTAGAGGTGCTCCGACGATAACTTCCTTTTATGGCTTTAATTGGGCCTCAAAACCTTTGTTTTTCTCTCTTTCAGCGATTTTCAGATAGTATGTTATTTCAGTTCTGATTTCCTCTTTGATCTAAAGGTTATCTGGAAGTTTCAAGTAGTTAAGATATTTTTTTTGTCACCTTTTTATTTTTTTCTAATTTTGCGGACTGTGATCCAAGAATGTGGTTCTCAAATATTCCCTCTTTGTGGTCAAGTAAGCACATGAGTATTATTTTGTA